TTTAGATTGCAATACTTTTTGAAGATGTGCTGCTGCCAAACCCTGCCAGCATTTGACATTGAAGGCAGAGGGCGCAGTAACCCTTCGCCCTCTCGGAGGTGTGTGCCCCAAATGCCATGGATCGGGTAACAACAGCTTGGTAGACCACTCTGTCCTCTGAAACTGCCCTTATCACATCTCTGCGCTCCTTAAGGGGCAGGTCTCGTCCAGAAGGAAGGAGTGCGCCAGGTAGATCAAGAGAACGCACACATGGGCGGCCTTCACGTGTGGACGATCATATGCCCAGTGACGATGGTAATTGTACTGATGAAGACCCTCGTCATCGTGGTGAGATTCATCGGCCAAATCAAACTCGTCATCATCACCATCACCATCATCTTCTTCTTCTACATGAACGCGACTCAATTATGTCCTATGCACACAACTAATGTATGCGCATAGCATGAAATGCCTGCGAAAGCTGCTGGGCCAGAAGGGCCTGTCCTTATCGCAAACCTGCTGATTTCCGGCAAGGGTTCATCGTTGACAGGCTGATTTGCACCCCTTCCGGCTCAAGAACCGCAGAACAGAAAACGAGGGTTTCGAGTCTGCGCGAGTACGTCTTCAGAGAAGTCTAGGATTGATATGGATGAGTATGAGGATGATGATGGTGATGCTGATGATGATGACGATGACGGTGACAACAAGTATTGCCTTGGAGCAGGTTACGACCTTTGGCCATCTGACAAGTGACGCCTGTCTCTTACGCCTCGCGATGGCACTGGTTGTACGCGTTTGTCATCACTGTCATCACGACTACTGTCACCATAGCTAGAGCGACATGTGTGATCTGCAACTGACAACCGCCAATTTCTGGCTGCTTCGTGGGTAGTTGCGCAAAGGCTAAAGCAAAGTATGCAACTGGACACATCACTACACGGCTCAAGGTTTAGGGACCCTAACACCCCCAAGCCCTGAACCCACACATCGAAGAGGCAAGCTCCACCTCGTAGTCACTCATCGTCCGGCCTATGTTGTCGAATGCACCTCAGGTCACGCAGAATGAAATCGTTCGACACTAGCACAGGCTTGCGTAATTGAGTCTCGCGACCCAGCTCTGTCAAGCACGTCTTTTGCAGGCTGGCGTGCACTATCAGAACAAACATGCTGGTTTCAAATCTCGCATGTGCAGAGATGACCGGGCATGACTGGGAGAAGTCGACCAGTCATGCCCAGAGTCCTAATCTAACCTCACGACAGCCGGCAGGCTTTCTGCCGCTGTCTCTGACGGCACCCTGCAACTGGTGCCCCCCCTGAAATGGCAGTCATTACAGAGAATCGAACCATGCCAAGCCTCTCTTTGGTTTGAACTCGTGAAGATCAACAACCCTCATGACCGTTAGCATCATCACTACACAGGATGGCAACAGAAACTAAACCAAAGAACAACATCGACAAGAACAACAGCCACACCAACAGATATCGTCGTGATACTGGTACGTTTGATTCTGATGGTCATGCTCAATACGTAGAAGAAGATGATGATGGTGATGATATAGCTGGTTGCGATGATGCTGATGCTCAGGCTCATGCTAATGCTCATGCTGATGCTGATGCTAATGGCCATGCTGATGGCGATGCTGATGATGATGCTGATGATGCTGGTGATGATGATGCTAATGATGATGCTAGCGATGCTGATGGTAGCAGTAGCTAGAGGCAGGATCGCGATGCAACAACACTTTCGCGAACATGTATAACACGCCGCAACACCATAATCAGTAGCGGTAGCGCAATAGCTGCACAAACAATTACAAGAATACCAAAGATACTAGGAAAATTCACGGTAGCACCCAGTATCGAAATGATAGTAAGAATCAACACTAACCAAGACTAAACGTGACTCTAAAACATGCTGGTGATGAAGCTCATGATCGTAAGCACTCTCGTAGCCATGATGACAACCACAGCAGTGATGATAGAAGCACCTGTCAATGACGAACGAAAGGCTCAGAACCGCAAATATCTGCCAAGCAATCATGTAGCTATGTCGACTGCAGCGAAAGGATGAGAACACCAATTGGACTAAAGTAAAACTGAAGACCGGAAACAATGACAACAGCAATAACCTAGAGAGATAGAGATGCAGCAAGTAGAGTTGTTTTCGCGTCGTCGTAGCAGCAAGCGTCCTCACTGGGAGTCCTAACTGCCACCGCAGCAATACCAGTAGCAGCTGCCATCATCCTCATCACTAGTTTTAACACCATGATCATCATCGTAGTACGAATATCGGACTCTGAACTGTCGGACGTCAGACATGCAGCTTCGGAGTAGCAAAACAGAAAGGCATGGTTTGAAGAGAGAGGTAAAGCAGCTGCCAAGCATTGGCAGCCAACTGCCAGAATCCAATCAGTCCGCCTTCAGTTCGACGTCCTGGGGCAAGGCTTGGGCTTGCGGCGCATCAGGTCGCGGTGAGGAGGTGTAAGGTTGCAGACTTTGGGGTTAGGGATCGGACCTAATCTGCTAAGACTATACTTCCAGCATCAGCTACAACAAGCTTCAGATTCCCGACGTGACTCTATTTGTGATCCGCAGTAAAAACCGAAGGCACCAACGCTGGCGATTGTGAGTAGGATATCATGTCACATCAAAGCATATTACGAGAGACAACGCATTTTCATATTGTAAGCCAAAGTGCGGCACCGTGAAAATATGCAGCATGAAAAAAGAACATGATATTTAACAACCCGTAACCCGCATATTACAATGAGAACCGTACTAACGAGGACATCTACCAGAGCAGAAGTAAAGATGCGAATTTTCATGGCGTAGGTTATGACAAACTCAGAAGCCCCTATACACAAGGGATGAACAGCTTGATCATGACAATAATAGCAATGAAAGCAGTATGTAGCACATGAACTACCAAAAACTGTGTAAGGAGTAAGAGAAATAAACAGCACATCTTGGAAATCGAAAAAAACAAAAGCTATGTCAAAGTATACAGCAGTTCTGAATCTTACCATTGCCCAGCTGGAAGGTCGGCTTTGGGCTGGGTGCCATAATCTATCAATCCACGCTGAGAGCACTAAGCAGGAACGAGTCCGAACCACTTATAACTATGACGAACTTGTAGAGGCTCTTCGACTTGAATGCGGAGCTTTGGGTTCAACCTCAGTGTCATTGTCACCTGCGCGTATTTTGCCGTGCCAAACCTCTTCCCACCAGAGTCAAGCGTGCTTCTCCCGCCGGTGCCCATGTATTTTGGGTGTGATTAGAGTCTCCGCCTCCATCTTCAGTATTTCCATAGTTTCGTGTATTGCAGTCTTGCGATGTCGTGCTCCTGCCACACTTCCATGCATGCGCATCGTGCTGCCGTCACTGTGGTGCTCGCATCAAGTCTTGGAGTCTCAGGCGATGGTGCAATGGTTCTTGGGTGTGTGCGGTCAAGTAGGCAGTGTCCTTTCGCACTGTTTAGGGGCGAATTACCCTAGCACAACTGCTAACAACAGTAGGCTTTGCCAGACGCAGGAGGGCCTTGCCGAGCAAAGTCGCTGGAAGAAATCCCATCGGTCGCCCAGCATCGGCCACCCAGGCCTGTCATGATGCTTGTGCGTGGTTCGTCTTCCTGGTATAAACGATTGCAATTATCATTATGTTTATGATTCTGATAATGCCATTAAAGTTACTAATATCATAATTATTAATGTTGTTGTATCGGATAGTGAGTACGACATTATGATGTTCATTATCATTATGATGACGAGTATTATTACGATTATGATTCTCATCGTTGCTGTTGTTATTGCTGATATGAATCATGACGTTATTGTTACTGTTACTGTTAATATTGTCATTGTTCTTGGCATTGCTACTGTTACTGCGATTGCGACTGCTACTGATTGCTATCTATGGCAATTGTTACTGTTGTTGGTTGTGCTGGTGCTGTTGCTGGTGCTGGTGCTGGGGCTGGCACTAGCGCTGGCACTGGTGTAGTTGTTGCTGTTGTTGAACTGGTGGTCGTTGCTGCTCTTGTTGCTGCTCCGGCTTTTGTTACCATCATGCTTGCTGTTACTGTTGCTGTTACTGTGATTGATGTTGTTCTTGTTTTTGGCAATTTTGTTGTTATGGCTGCTGTTGCTATTATGACTGTCATCATCATTGTAAGTGGTAATTATTACTATGACTGGTCTGCCTGCCGTGCGCAGTATTTTGACCAGAGTTAGTGTGATTAGCATCGTTGTTGCATCCGCATTAGCGTCAGCATCAGCGGTAGCATTAGCGTGACCATCATTGTTATTATTCCTTGTCATTGTTCTTGGTCGTGCTCTTCTTCTGGTCACTGTTACTGCTGCGGTTGTCACGAAGATTGTTGCTATTTGTACTCACTCTTCTACTTTTCTCATCTCTATCATTGGTAGTACTGCTGGTTTTTACTCTGTTAAGCCCTGAAGCAATGAACCATTACGTTTTCGGGTACAGCTGTTTACAGAGACCCAAATCCTCCGAACCGAAAAACCCTCAACGCGGATCTGACTTTCATTTCTTCAAAGTGGAGGTGCAAATCCCAAACCCAACAACTCTAAACCTTAAACACCCCTTAAACGCCAAAGCCCAAACTTACGGGCTCTCTTAACCGCACTGCACTCCCGCCTCGCCGGCCATATCCTGGAGCAGCTCCTCACGCACAGCCTGGCAGGAGTGTTGAGACCGTGAGTTCGGTATTAAATGGGGGGCCTGAGAAATTCAATAAGGTTAGTTTGGGGGCTTGTGGTTTAAGCTTCAGGGCTCTGCTTCGGGCTGAGTTTAGGCATAACGAGTCGAGGGTCTAGTTTAGGAGTTTCGGCATTACGAAAACAGGGTGGCTTTGGTGCTCAATACGTTCAGGCGCACGATTCGTGGATCCTCTGAAAACGGGGTTCGGGATGTGTATATGACGGCGCTCATCTTATGGGCTCGATCTCAGGTTTTACATACAGGCAGGCATTGACATGCGCCTCTGCCAGCGGCAAGTGCATGCCTTAGTGTTGGGGCATCCGCTGCAAGTCGCCGCAGCATGAGGGGACGGGGCAAGTTCCAACTGCGGCTGGGGCACGCCCCACGTGCTTTCGAACAAAGTCCACTCCGCGGAAGTGCCTGGACACCGTCTGATCACCACTCGACGACACCTCCAAACTTTGCCTTCAAAACTGTTAAACCACAGAGCGCTTGTCGAATTCTGCTGACTGGCACTGGCTCACGACGAGAAGCTTGCCGCATAACTTGCACTTGAACTTCTCGTCCGTGACCTTCAGAATCGCCTTCTCCCTTTCCTGCTCAGCTTGAAATGTTGCAAAGCATTCCACTGGCATTGAAAGGCGTGCAACGGACAAAGCAAAAAGCATGCGCAAAACGTGGCCTCGGCCAGGCGTTGCACGACGTGGGCGTTGGTGTAGTCAGGGGCAGCTGCAGGTTTGTCGAAGGACCTGCGTGTGGGCAGGGAGTGCAAGTGAGCCCCAGCGGGCCTGTGTTGACACGTGTCCTCTTGGCAGCCAAGACGCACGCTGTGCAGGAAGCTCTCCAGTCGCTGCTCGTGAGCTGCGGACCACTCGCCCGGCCTGCACTCCGCTTGTGCCGGCGCACGCAAGGTGGCGATGCCGCAGGCATCGCGCAAGGACCACTCGTCATCACACCAGCGCGCGGAATAGAAGCAGAAGTGGTGCACGCGACGTAGGTAGGTGACACGAAGGTCGAGCTTGAATTCGGTGGTGCCATAGGCATTCAGCACCAGGGCCGTGATGTCTTTGGGCACTTCTGTGAGGCCGTCCAGGCGCTGCATTACCTGCTCGGAGAGAGCCAAGTCCTTGAGAAGCCGCTCCGGAAGTGACATCTCCTTTCCCCCCCACTCACTCGCGGCTGTCCACGCCAAGACCTGACCTACAGTACCTACAACAGCACTTTCCCTGCGTCCTCCGGCAGCATCAGCGCAGACAAGTCAGGCTGTTGACTCAAAACGGATGCACGACCCGTCCCTTCGCTTCCTGGCACGAGCAGCTTTGATTCGTGTGACGCTCTGCGAGTGAGCCTGCCTGGTCTGCTGAGCAGGGTGTCCGTGCTCCGCATCAGCACAACGGCGGCCGCGGTGGCATCCTCTTTTGAAGTGAACCTTTCAGAAGCCACACGAACTCCAGCGCCCCATGCGGGCAACACCACCCCGGGCATCCCTACCTGGCAAAGAAGTCCCGGGCCAGGTCCTTTCCTTCGAACCTCGTCCAGGCAGCAGTGCAAAACCCCGGGCGATCCTGCGGGCAGGCCATGTATCGACCAGCATGCTGCAGAACTGCGCATGTCGGCTCCTGAATCGCATCCAAGACATCCCATACACTCACTGCCGGTGGGAGGCTACCTCGAAGGGCAATTCGCACGCGGATTCTACGCCAGGCTCTGACATCTCAGGTACCAACCTGCATCGTGTCCTACCCTTGCCGAGCCGCGAATCACCAAGGAACCCACATCCGGGTCGAAGGCAAACTCGGGCGCTTGCAGATGCCCGGCTACCGGGCAGGTGGTTCCACGTCGCGCCTGGCTTGTTTGGAGGGACAGCTCGCAGTACCTGTCCAAAGGCTGACGGAGAGAGGCAGTGACTCGCCCAAGCTGCCGCGAGACCCTCCACTTGCATCACACCGGCACACCGCGCCTTCCCTCTCGCAGGTCCTGCCCAGCAAGGGAGGTTGCTGTGGATGCGTCATGTTCGACTGACCCTGTCCTGAGCAAAGGTTGTCGCATTCAGCTGCGTCGTGCCAAGATGTAGTTCATGGCGCCGGAGCCGAGAGAGAGGATGATAAAGGTCGAAGAAGAGCCCCGTCTCCTTGATTGCCGGCAGCTCTTCCTTCAGCCTTTCCTGAATGTACTGCTGAAACCTGTTCATGACAAAGTCTGGAGAATCCTCGTTGGAAACGTGCTTCAGCACGAAGTCCCGGAAACTGGGCTTCGCCGCTCTGGCCTCCTTTGCCTTCAGCTCTGCATCCTTTGAGTGCGCCCTTGCCACGGTCTCTGTCGGCGCCTCTGCTGCGGACGTGGCCGACAAGGCCGGGGTGAGGCGCCGCGGAGCGGGCTGCTTCTGAGACGGGGAGCGGCTGAGGCTGCGCCTGCGTCGAGGACTGCGAGTCCGGCTCTGGCTGGAGCTTTGCGGAGAGCGCCGGCGGCAAGGTGTCTTGCTGCGGCGCCGGAAGGTGCAGGGAAGGTTTTTGCCACCCCTGCCCTTGCCTTTGCCCTTGCCGCTCTTGCCGCCCTGGCGCCACCGGCAAAAACTAGCCAGGAAGCATGAAAACCCCTACGTGTTCGCAATGCAGGCCTTGCCACCAATGGGCTTCTCATCGATCTCTCGTCCATCTGGATGATTGAACCTGCATCTGCAGGACTGTGTCGGAAGGAAATCCCTGTAAACCTCAGCCGAGGCCAGAGCCAGCAGGTGTAGCGTGTGCAGGCACGCCCGTGCCAGCAATTGATGGTGTGGCGGTTTGAAACTCCGGCACCACCTGTCATGTTGACCCGCAGTTTGCAGCACTCAATGGCTCTCCCCGGTTTAGCTGCAGATGCTCCTGGAAGTTCAAGTATAAGCCTCTGTAGGCTAAGTGGGCCGTCTTCCCGCGACTTGTCTTACACTTACACCTTGCCCCAAAGCCCCTGCAGCCTGTCCGTCCACGGGATCGCCGCGAGCGCGAGCGCCGCGAGCGCGAGCGCCGCGAGCGTCGTGGGCGCCGGGAGCGCCGCGAGCGCTGCGACCGGTGTGAGCGCTTGGACGGGGAGCGCTCGGGGCTTGAGCGAGGCTCGCTGACCTTGGCTGTCTTTATGTTGTTCTGCCATATTCCGAATGGCATTGCACATCGCAAGGCATCACTCTAGTGACGTGAGAGCAAAGCAAGGAAAACTATTACTTCTGGTGGCAATCGGCAGCGGTCTCGGGAGCCTTTGGCGAAGCATTGCTGCTGGCAACTTCTGTAGAGGTGTCGGAGTCACTTGCCTCCGCCTCCAGTGTTTTAAGCCGTATAGGGTTCAGGGTTTAGGGCTAAGGGACTGCCATGGAAAGCAACTCATGAGCAGGATTTCCTGATGCAGGGTGTACGTGCCTCCTCCTCCCTGGCTTTCTCTTCCTTCCTGGCCGAGTGCCCGGATGGAGAGGGCGGGGGAGGAGCCTCCTGGGTCTTTTCTTCGTCCATGGCCGAGGGCTCGGACGGTGAGGACGACATGGCAGCACGAGAGGACAAGAGCAGTGTTCGAGACTGGCGGCTGCGGCTGGCAGAGCCTTCCCACTTCGCCAAACTCAACAGCCTCCATATGGTATAATAGATTGTCCTGTATGCACATACACTGTATGGCATAATACGTGGCGATACAACAGTGTGTGTGTGTGTGTACCCATAATATCTGTATATACACTTACATACACTCAGCCATTATACATACATGTGGAGAGATCGTGTGTGTGTGTGTGTGTGTGTGTGTGTGTGTGTGTGCATTTGATAACTTACCGCCTAAATGGCTGACCCCGGCTACCGTATTCATGTTGTCAGATTGACCTCGGAAGCAGTCTTGGCGTTGTCAAACTGATGCCTACTCGCCTTTCTGTTAGTGGCCCTCTTTTCAATTCTTGCTGCTTGTATGATGTTACGATGATGCTTCTTCTTTTGCTCATTAATGTTAGTTATCAGGTGAAGTCATGTTGCCAGTTCCAGTGGGAACAGAGACAATGCCTCATGCCTGACTTCACCAAGATGCTGAGGCTGCAGGACTGAACGGCAAGCACAGATGAGTAGCCCGCTTCGAAAGTAGACGCTCGCGTAGGCGAGGGTCAGCACCACATCAGCATAGTGGTATTCGCACAAGTGCATCAGCCGAATGCCCTGCACCAGGACAGCGTCGACGGGGGCAGTCTTTGCTATTGAAGATCCACTTGTTAGCGTGCAGATGAAAACGCCGTGCTCAGCCGTTCTCCCTCCAAATGCTGCAGATTACCAAGCGCGGACGCGAACGCTTCTGCTGCAGCCAGCAACAGAGTGGAACTGCTACCCAACTCTCGTTCCAGAAGGCCAGCCAAAAGTTCTCAATGCTCGCTACTACTGCCACGACAAGCCCTGGGCAGGGCCCAAAGTACAAGGACAATCTAAGTACCTGTAGCAGCAGCGAAGTCAACCACCACGAACACAGAAGCCAGTGGCAAACATGGCACATGCTGCAATCCTGCTGCCCACCTGGAGGACCTTCTTGTAGAGGGTGTCGTGCTTGGCCGATGACTTCTCAATCGACTTCTCTCCGACTTCTACAGCGAAACCATGAATGAGGCTTGCAAACCTGCGGACCGGGATACAGTTCTTTTGGATCTCCGCGTCGATCTACGGTTGAAGTGCTAATCGCGACAAGCTGCAGGAACACCAATGCTGCCGCCTCATTTCCCTACTTTGCATGCTCAGACAACATTGGCATGCGAGACATGCAGAAGCAGTCTCATCGTAAGCGGCTACAAGTCTACGGTGTCTATAAGGTGTCTAACTAGCGCAACTGCATTCACAGTTCTTCTTGTGTCTACGATTCGAACATGGCTGTGGTCCTGAACGATCATGCCATTGATGCTGGTGACTAAGATGTTGCTGCTGATGACAACTCCGACGATCATCACCACTGGCAGTGACATCACCATCATTGTACATCTTGTGTCATTCTTCTCCTTCTCACGAAACTTTGTGTCGTAACTTCTCAACATGTCCTTAAACCCAACCCCTCAGGACTGTGTCCTACCTGGCCCCAGCCTCCAAACCAAGACGACATCGTCCTTAAAATGTGCATACCTGCACCAGCGGAATTGTCGTCTGCCTTAAAGGTGTCCATTCCATGCACTCGCAACGCGTGTGGTTGCTCGCAATGGCCACGTGCTCACCGATCACTGCCAACTTCCTCTGAGACATGAGAACATGAGCATATCCATTTGTGAAGTTCTAAGTCTAACTACTGCTGGGATGGCTACACTATCGCCAACCCAACGACAGCTAATCCCTGGACCCTTAACCTTGAAAGGGCACTTGCCGATGTCCGGCTTGCACGACAGGATGTCATCTGCTTCGTCCCCGCGCTCCGATGGCCGCTCCTGCTCCAACAGCTACGGCCGAAAGCTTTTGTCATCTCATCTAGCAATATGATATCTTGCTTCGACGCTTGAGCACATGGGGGTTACAAGGCGAGCTTCACGAATGCAGCGGTCCTTAGGCAGTTTGCCTGAGCGGTGCCCTCTGGGAGCAGCTATGTTTCCGTGCGCAGGCAGCGTTGCGCTGCCCTCCACGTCGCGATGCCGCAGCCTAGCCACGCAAGAGCATCTCTTGATGGGACTGCAAGAACTCCAACCCGTGAACGCAAAGCCCAAGCAGTGTTTGGAAATTCCATTGGTCCAAAGCAATCATCGGGGTTCTGGGCTCGTCAAAGGACTCTGCCCAGCTATTCCAAGGATTCGGCCCCGAATGCACATGCATCTTCACACGACCACTACCCACCCTGGCAGAGGTTCGATTAAGGGTTCCTATATGTTCCTATCAAGCACCCGTTAGTAGCAGGGATGATGCTGGCTTTCGTCAGAGCCATAAGAGTCATCATTTTCAGCAGCATCACCCGCACCATCTACACAATCCTGACTATGTCGCTATGCTGATGTATACAAAGAGCCCAAACCCAAAGCTCAAGTCAAGGAAATCGCACCTGACACCGCCACCCGACTGCGGCAGCGCGTCGTCCAGGAGGGAATACCTCACATTTGGGCTCGAGGTGGGCTTCAGTGCTGCCTGGTTCCTAAGAAAGAGTTGCCGCGAGCGACTGATACTGTTACTGTTGCAATGAAGACTATCGTGGCGATTGCAATTGCGATTGCGTTTACTGCTGCTGCTCCTGCTGCTCATCCTGCTGCTCATGCTACTGGCACTCTACTCCTACTCCCGCTCGTATGCCTCCTAGTCACTACGCTACCGTGGCATCTCTAGGTCTGAGTTGATGGCCCAACATCGCGCTGGAGAAACTTGAGGGCTCGGTCAAGCTTGGAGTGAACCTGATCAACCAAGACAATGTACGAGCTGCAAACGGCGCTGCAAGCGGTGACAAGGCCTCCGAGATGGCGAGCTCATTCTCTGTCTGCTGTGGAAGCAAGGCGAACCTGCATGTCTGAAGCATGAGCATAACGCAAGCTGCACCGATGTCCCAAGCATCTTGCGTGGCAGCAGGATACGATGCTTTCTTCCGGCAGTTGCGAGCAACAAGACGGCTTGCGCCAGTCTGAAGCTTCATGCGAGCCTTTGTATCTCACATATGGATTGAGCTTTGGTGCCCCGGTTCCTCACTCCAAACCCTAAGCCACAAAACCCAAACACGAAACCTTGAACCCTAAACCACAAACCCTTGAACCCTAAACCGCAAACCTTGAACATACCAAATGGCTTTCTGGGGGGTGCTAGACTAGGAGTACACTTGCGCTGCAGCAAGCACGCAGCTGCTCGACGCGGCCAACCCAATGCCTGGTAAAAATCAAAACGATAATACGAATGAGTATCAGCTTCAGCAATAGTTGCCGTCGTCCTAGTAGTACTCATTGTCGCAGCAGCAGCACCAGCAGCAGCAGCAGGAGCAGGAGCAGGAGCAGGAGCAGGAGCAGGAGCAGGAGCAGGAGGAGGAGGAGGAGGAGGAGTAGTGGTACTAGTAGTTGTTGTTGTTGTTGTTGTTGTTGTAGGCGTTGTTGTAGTTGTACTAGCCGTCGTCGGAGTTGTAGTAGCAGTCGTCGTCGTAGTCGCAGTAGTCGTCGTCGCAGCAGTAGCAGGAGAAATAGTAGCAGTGGTAGTAGGAGCAGCAGGAGCAGCAGCAGCAGCAGTGGTTAGCATTAGCAGAGTAGTAATTGTCGTCGTAGTCGTAGTAGTAGTAGTAGTAGTAGTAGTAGTAGTAGTAGTAGTAGTAGTAGTAGCCAGCGGCGTGTTTACCATACCCGTGGCGGGTAGTAGTAGTAGTAGTAGTAGTAGTAGTAGTAGTAGTAGTAGTAGTAGTAGTAGTAGTAGTAGTAGTAGTAGTAGTGGCAGTGCTCAGCAAAAATAGTCTGATATAGTTGTAGTTTGCAGTTGCAGTTGTTGCTGCTGATGCTGTTGTTGATATTGTTGTTGTTACTGTGTTGGTGGTGGTGGTGATGCTGCTGCTGGTGGTGGTGGTGGTGGTGGTGGTGGTGGGGGGTGGGGGGGCGGGTGGCAGTGGCGACGGCGGCGGCGGTGGTGTATTTTCTGATGCTGCTGTAGCAGTAGCAGTAGTAGCAGTACTGTAGTAGAAGTAGTACAAGTAGTAGCAGCAGGTGCAGTGGTAGTTGTAGTATTACTTGTCTCCGCCGCAGCAGTATAGAGGAGCAATAGCAGCTGCAGCAACTGTCGCTGTTATTATAGCGATCAAGAGAACACTTCAACACTTGGGCTGAGCCGCAGTCCTTTGGACTAAAGCCGAGCACTTACCGCGCGAAGATTTTGCAACTTTGCAAAATCTCAAACTTGTCCACTCCGCTGCGCGACTCGGTGAAACTGATGGGGCATGGACTCGCTGGGCAGCGTTAAATCTTACTGTTTTGTTACTGGGTGGGGGGTTGAAGGGTCATGAGCTCTTGCAGGACCAGGAAATGCACGAAAGTACTCTTTCCGTCCAAGTAAATCTGCCTGCATACCACCTCCCACCACAGGCAGCACTCCAGACCAAGATACAACCGGTTCTTGTAGCATTCATCTGACGATATCTGAGAATGAGAAACAACTTTCAAACCGCAATCACTGAGACGAAGGGCAGGCATGAAGCATACGGGTCTTCGGCACATCATCAGGCGTTCCAGAGGCCCAAAGCCGGCAGGTGGTCCCTCGCCCCTGCGAAGACTCGGCATGCGAATTCCGACCCTGGCCCTCAAAGTGCGAACAGGGCCAAAGCCAGTGTGCTCAGAATCTGCAAAGCCTTTCACCAGCCCAGCTGGTCACCTAGGCCTAGGCATTGCCAACTCACTGGTTACAGTTAGTGACTTGCAGTGCTCCCTGGCCGAGATCATGAGGGTAGAAACTGAAAAAAAAAAAAAAAGACCGGAAACGGTCCTTACGGTTTCCCGAAACCCTGTCCTTATGAGTCAGGACGGCCACCGACTGGTCCCGCTGCAGTTTGAAACACTCGCCTCCCGCGCTCTTGGGGTCTAGTCTTGCAGGCGTTCAGGGCTTCGGGCGCTTCGGGCGCTTCGGGGGTCCTGGGTCGGTTGTGTTAAAAACTGACGGCTTCGGGGTTTTCTTGCTGCCGCTACTGTTGGCCACTGGCTCATGCAGGGAAGCTTGCACTACCTGTGTTGAAGAATGCGCTTCAACCCCTGAATCCCTGGACCCGCTCAATCCCTACGTGGACCGCACGCATTCTCATCTCCAAACACTAAACCCCAACCCTACACCCTAAACCCTAAACACTACACCCTAAACCCTATGACCCTAAACGCTCGTTCGGCGGCTGCGGCTGCATGCCTTTGAGCGAAGAGCCGAGGAGTTGTGACCTGCCCGGTCCCAGTTGGGGCTTTGCGCTTGGGAAGGTTCCGTTTCGGGTTCCTCTAAGGCTTCCATAGGGATTCGTTTGAAGAACCCTATGAGGTTTCGGAATTTTCTTGTTTGGGCTTTAGGGATTTAGGGTTTTGTTAGGGGCTTTGCTTTTGCATTGAAGGTTTCCAGTTTGGCGTTACGGTGTTGGAGGTCTGGATCTTTTCCCAATCTTCTGGCATCATGAGAGCAGAGAAACTTGAGAGCCGAAACCCGGCCTGTTGTGGAGTCATAGGCCGCATCACCACGAAGGGTCTGCCCGGTGACTGCGCTCGAAAGTCCTCGCATCCCCCGGCTCAGTCATGCCCTGCAAGCCTGCCCCACAACACTACGAAGAAAAGTGAGAATAAGCAACAGCAGCAGCAAGCCCATGACGAAAACCAACACACTGCACATTCATGGTGCATAGGAGAAGGAGCGGCTGGCCACAGCTCTCCACCCAGGGGACGACGCAAGAACCAAAGCCCTAAAACCCTAAACTTCTAGACCCGGAAATGCCTAAACCCCAGAACCCCTGACCCGAACTAAGATACCGACTCCGCTTGGAAACGCAGCAGCCGGCGCACCTCGGGACGCTCGCTCTTTCCGCAGCACCAAAGCCATAGTGCTAATCTTATGCTCTACCAAGTAATGTAGCAGACTCTAGCGCAACCAACAGACAACACACGGTCAAAACTCTTCTAAACGTATGTGTAGGTATGTGGCCCTTGGCGCAGTTGCCGGTCTATCTAGCGACTTACCTGCCGATTCATCTAGTCAACCTGTAGGAACATATGCATGTATGCATCGGTGCATGCATGCATGCATGTACGACACATGTATGTATGTATGTATGTATGTATGTATGTATGTACGTATGCATGCATGTATGTATGCATGCTGTATGCATGAATGCATGAATGCATATGTAGGCATGTAGGCACGCATGCATGGATGGACAGCTATAAACATAAACCGATAAACCGATACACAAACAGATGGACAAATGGAAGGGTGCATAAATGGATAGGTGGATTGATTCATGGATGGATGGATGGATGGCAGGGAGGGAGGGATACGTACATGTCCCTAGTTTTTGTCCTTCTCGACCACCATGCAAACATACATACATGCATGCATGACGTACATGACATACACCTGTGCATACATCGCTTCACGCAGGCATGCACCAGGGACGCGCCTTTCTCTTCCTATACGGGGGTTTCCGAAAATAGGGGACCCTCATATACTACCCTAAATAGTAGGATCCTTATTATAAGGGCCCCAAAATAGGGTACCCCTAGTTTGCGGAAACTCCCAATACAGGTACAGGGATTTAGAGCTGAGCCGAGCTGAGCCGTCGGCCGGCGATCTCCAGGGGCACTGCCCGCAGAGTGAGCTTGGCACTTCCCGGCGTGAGCTGGGGTGGAGCCCTGAACAGAAGGTTCAGGGGTGGTTTAGGGGTTCAGGGGGTTAGGGCTTGGGGGGGTTTAGGGGTTTAGGGTTTAAAGGTTTTAGGGTTTCGGGTTTGGGGTAGTGCTTCTTGGGCTCAGCGGTTTAGGCTTGAGGGTTCATTGTTTAGGGTTTGGGCAGGGGTGTACAGTATCACTCCACCTCCCAGAGACCCTTGTGATGTGTGATGCTTGTGCCGCTTCTGTTCTTTCGGCTACACTCAATGTCACAAACACCGCAACAGCCAAAGAGGGTGAGATTTGTTATAGATCTACTACAACTACGATACCACTCTAGATGTTCAGGGCTGCTGGGGAACACCCCACATAAAGCCACAAGGATGGGTGACCATACCGCAGCTTTCTTGATCGAGCACCGGCAAGTCATAGACTTGTGCATTTCTCTAAATGCGAGACAGCAGGGTTAGGCATATGGTGGGTAGCATATTTGCTTGTGTTTGTTTTGCCAATGAATCCAAGGAACTTACACTCTCTGCTGGCATTTATGTATCTACATATTTGTAGAAAGGGAATGTTGGGTTCAAGATTAGTTTGCGGTTTAGCGAAATGCCGAGGACTCATGCCAGCTTCTCCGAAATGCTGAGGCCCCGACACTGAGTTGAGGCTCGAGGTACTGCGAGTCTGGCACCCGGGTATCGCCCTGCACACGGGCGCCAAGCTGACCACCAGCCCCGAACAAAAAGGCACAGAGCAGCCTGGCGAGCCTCATTTTGCATGTATAGATGCTTGTCGTATAGAAGTCAGCTCAGCTGACTCTGGTTTTCGGAAGCAGGCTGAGCTTGCTATTTCACAATGCACTCCAATTCTACAGCAAACCGGATTGAACAACAATATGATATACCATGTCAGAACAAAATTTACCATCATATAAGTACTCTACTATACACGACTACAGTATACTACAATACCCGACAAACCACCCATTAGTTCGGACTCAAGATCCAGATTCGCCCGAAGCCCAAGCACTCGAAGTCTGCGTCCTACAGTTGGAAAAGCGTCAGGGCAAACCCTAAATCCTGAACCCTAAACCCTAAACCCTAATAGTATCCCTTATAGACCCGTTATAGTCTACTTATAGTATCAGTATCCCTTATAGATCCCTTATAGTCTACTTATAGTATCTGATACTGAGTATCTTAGACCCTGAACCCTAAACCCTCATAGTATCCCTTATGGACCCCTTATAGTATCTTAAACCCTGAACCCGAAACCCTCTAAACTCTTCTCAGCGTAGCCCTTCCCTCGTCTCTGGGAAGCCCTGCGGGCACAGGGCAGCTCGGGAGGGAGAGCAGAGGAGGTCAGCCTGTCATGCAAAGGACCGTCGTAGGTTCTGGGGCTTAGAGTCGGGTTTTGGGCTCCTTCATAGTATAGTCAGAATAAGGAACCCTAAGGAATAATACAGGTAATTATTTAGGCTTCTATATTATTCAGCGGGTGCAGGTACGAAGGCTTTTGAAGCTCTGGGGCTTGGGCCGGGTGGGTTTTTCGGGGCGTTGAGCTTTGGGAGAGCTTCGGTTGTGGCAACTTTGGCCAAACTACAGCGGAGGTTGAGATTCATGGAACCTCGACCCACCTTGGGGTAGGAGCCTTGTAGTGACATGTAGTGCTCCGGAAAAACTGCGGCAACCGAACAGACCAGCTACTGCAGTATGAGACCATTACCGTGCCTCCAGGACCTTCCAAATATTGGTCTTTGTCATTACTGCTAGTAAACCACACCGTCTGCTGCATGCCTTCTGCACCTTCCACAGCACGAGAACCGCTGAAACAGCATCGGCCACAGCACAGGGCGTGGCGGGCCCCGAGCCAAAAAAAAGATGCCCCGAAGCTGTCAAGTTCTCACAGAGCTCATGGTAACGAGTTGCGCACCTCGAATCCGGGCAGAACCGCGGGCCTTAGGCAGAGGGTCTGGAGTGGGCTTTTGGTATGCAGGCCTACAGAAAGGACATCTGAGGGAGAAAAATCCAATGCAAAGAACAGAGCAGAAGCGTCAAAGTTTTACCTTCACGCAATACAACACAACACTCAACACAGCGGAACATAGTGTAGAACGAGAGCGTGCATCATAATGTCATAGTGAAAGGCCAGACAACCATCCCCCTGGCAAGCTTCAGTAGTGCGTAAGATAGTCTAGCAGTCTAGCCGTGTATCTAGGTCGCAATATTGCCACTGTTTCAACTGTCATTGCTGCTGGCTTTCGTGATTGCTACCTTTGCCACAATTTGCGGATTGAGCAATAGCAGGAAAATACTTGGGCCTGGGCCGAAAATCCGATGCACTGCTGGTGCGGGATGCCCGGCGACAGCTGCCCGCCTACGAATCTCGGTGACGTTTCGGGTCTTTAAGGTCTGGTTCTGTTTTCTGTCATCCATGCTATCCTTTTTGAGGGTTGTACTTCTATGTGAAACTCACACTCGGAGAGATGGTTCCACCAACAACAGGGGCGATGACAATACTTTATGGGTTGGGGTTTGCGGATCCCCACCCCCCCGCTGCAAGGCTTGCCTCGCCTGGCGGACGGATGTAGAGCTTTCGGAAGTTGCACTGCTGTGAATAATGTGGTCAGGCAAGTGGCTTTGCAAATGCCATGCTTGTGGGAGGCGATCTGAGCCTACAGACTGGGGAGTTTGTGGCAGCTGGCTGTGGGAGACGCGCTGGAAGCGCCCGGAGTGGATGTGGGGGGACATCTGATGTGGAGAAGGCGCAAAGAAGCGCATGTCCATTTCGCGATGGGATCGGGCACTCTGCGGAGTCTTCGAAGGGTACGCACAGGTTCCTTCGCTGGCCGAAAGCGTGCTTGTCTTCGGCCTCAATCTGTGCAGCTACATGTTCACCAACTGCTCCAATCGTGTATACAGAACTGCCAAGCCCCCGAACGGTGTAAACTTCGCGGTGATCTCATCGATATTGTCTTGCAGGCTGCGCCTGGGATCAGATTCACAAGACGCAGCTGAGCTCTGTTTGTCAAAGGTCGCTCGACCCCTACGAAACAATGACCCTGAGGGGCTTCGGTAACTCGGAAAGGTAACCCATGCGAACGGTGCGGCAAACAGAACGTGTGATTTCATGTCAGGACTATGAAACGAACATGATGAAAGAGAGGCATCACTCCTATCAACGAGTCCTACCAGCAAACCCCACAAGTCCCTGAACCCTCAACTCCAATGAGGTAGCTCTCGACCCCAACATCCGCTCTAATCTTAATCTACACTGAGGCGAAGGCAGCTGCTTCCTGAGCTTGTTCCAAATCTCCTCGTCCATGGCCTTTTCAACAAGTAGGAGGATGCTTAGATGGGTTCCCGAAAGAGTATTTCGGGTGATTTGAGTGGAGCTTCTCGATGTTTTATGTAAGAAAGACTACTCCACTAAGTTTCCCGGGTACAGTATTGCGACTCCCCTCGTCAAAGCGAATCCAACATCCCTTCCGGCTGAGGCCAAGACGTGAGAAAGACTCTCCACAGTGTTTGGAGTAGGAAGGCCGCTTGGCCGGTATCCAGCACCTTCTTTGGATCCATTTTTGAAAGGCTTCTGAGTACAGTGCTTTTTGGGACTGTCTGAGAAGGGGTCAGACATGGCTGTTAGGTATGCCTAGCAGGCGTAGTTTAAAACAGGGAGGGTGGGTGTTTTCTGCTGGGAGACGGGGATTAATACTGCGAATGATGTAATTAGTATTGGAGTTTCTGAAAACATAGGTACCTTTGGCAACCCTTGGGTACTACAAGAATTATAGAAAGAAATTGGATTCCTCCACAGAAACACATTCCTGAGCATCACAATACATATCATCAAGTAGAGGCATTCAGACACTACATACATGGTGATAGTAATCTGCAATTTCTTTGCAACGGACAATGCAACTCAGAAGGTCCGCGGTTACAACAGCCAGAGCACAGGTCTGTACACCTCTGGACTGAGGATGCATCCTCCTGAAGTTAGCGCCATTCTTCATCGCGGTCGTAGACGCGGTATCCCAATTCGATGTGCAGGCAATCTGGGCCGTACTGTTTTAATTGCATTGTGGCCTCCACATAGTCCGCACCCGGAACCTCCTTCAGCAGCATACGCCTCTTCTCATCGCAGGCCGCTTGATGGATGTGCCGAAAATTAATCAGATCTTGCACGGTCAGCGGTGTTTCAGCGGTGAAGTCCTCCAAGACCTTCGGGACGGGCGAACCCTTCTGCACCGAGAACATGACCTCCGCACCCACGTGGACCACTGGAGTGCTGCTCTTGATGGTCAACTCGCGACTGCCTTCGTGGAAACGGCTTTTGGATGAAAAGTAGGGAGGTGCCGGCATCTTGTCTGTCCATTTCCATTCGACCGTCGGATAACCACACATATGCAGCGGCGATCCGAACCAACATCCGATGCTCGAGAGCTCGCGTGCGATCTGCAGCGCGATTGTCTCGAGCTCGTCTCGCGGCACAGTCTCACTCACAAGGTTGCCTTTGTCGTCTTCGAGACCAACCATCTGCAGCAGTGGGCTAAGGTTCAAGGCGATGGCCGTGACTGTGCTGTCAGGCTCCGCGTCTTCGAGCTTCGCAATGACACGGCCCTCAGCACTCAGCAACTTGATATTCTTGGTGCGCATTCGGGTGGAGACCTGCTCCTTCAACTCCAGTATGGATGACACCTCCGTTGTGTCGAGGATTACATCCCCGTTGACCCCCACGACAGTCAGCACGCGCGAATCTGGGATCGCATCTGGCTGGCGCGTACGATCCAAGCAGGAGGTGATCACGCCCATGGTTGAGGCTTTATGGTGCCAAGGGCTCCGGGCTTCGTCGGGCCCTCCCCTTAGATGTTGAAAAAAATTTGCCATTTTGGTCCAGTCATGCCGACTGTGTGCAATCCGCCTAAAGGACCCTCCGAGACCCCAGCCCTGGACCCTCGACCTCAATAATGCAGGGGCCTCAATAATTAGAAAAGGGTTTTGGGGCCCACTATACCACATTATACTAAGGAGCCCCCAAAATGGTACTGGTAACTATTTTGGCCCCTGTATTAGGGATCCAAACGTGGATGCTCTCAAGACCTGCTCAACCCCGTGTTGAGTTTGACACAAGCTAGCCAGGAACCCCGAGGAACTTCGTATAATGCCGAACAGTAAAGGCGCAAGCCTGAACCCGAAACCTCAAAATCCGTAGAACTGAACTTCTTCATCTACACCAACACTCTTGCCTCAAACTGAAACTCCGAAAACCAAAAACCCAACTTCTTGAAACCCGAAACCCCTAAACTCGAGCCCCCAACCTCCACAGAAACCGCAACCCTCAACCCCGAAACCCTTCTAGGACCCCGGGCAACAGAAACTCTGTCGAGCCCCTCTTAGGACCCTTATTGAACCCTTGCAGAAAGAACTAGAATAGAACCCTTATAAAAGCCCCTTTGTGAGGACCCTTTGGCTGAAGACCTCTCTGTGCATCGGGCCTGAGGTCTCACTTGGCGAGTCCTCGACTTGACTTTCCTGGCAAAAGTGTCTATATGGGTAGTTCTCTAAGTTAGGGCCGTATTATATAGGAGACCCCAAATTTCTTCATAATAGGAGACCCAAAATTTCTTCATAAATAGCTTTGGGTTCCTTATGGGGTTCTGTAACACAGGGTTCCTGGAGGGTTCTACGAGGTTACTGTAAGGATTCCAGTATGGGGCTTGAGGGATCGAGGGACTCGGGAAGTAAGGGGCTTTAGGGGTTTCAGGGTTTGGGGCTTAGGGGTTTTGGCGATTTGGGTTTAGGGTTTAGGGGTTTGAGGCTTAAGGGTTTCGGCTAGCGTTTCGGGCACCATGCTTAGCGTCGGGGGTTGAAGGCTTGCTTTCCTGGGTTCGGGACCACAATAATTACCATAGAGCCCTCGGTCACATTACACTGAAATTTCACGAAGACCGTAGAGTTATCCTGCTACTACTTGTTCATACCCCTAGTTGTTGTTTGGTTTGGGGCTGGGACATGTTCTCTGAGCGAAGAGCGCTTCGATTCGGAAAGCATTGGAGACTGTGGCGGCCTAATAGTTATCAGGTTAATAAAGACAGAGACCTTAATACTTGGGATTGAGGTTCGGGCATATAGTTCACCATAGTTTGCCATAGTTGTGCCGGGAACTATAAGGGTAGGCTATGCCTGTTCCTCCTCCGCCACCGACAGTAAATATTGAGCTTCACATGCTGGAGTCTCTCTCGGCCAAGGATCTGCTGAAGTCGTCGCTGTTTGCTCCATCGCCTCCACCTGCACAAAATGAGAGGTATGGCATCACTGACTGTTCAGAGAGGCCGAGTGGGGAACGCTGGGGCATCCTCGGTCGATCAAAAAGTAGCCTTGGTAATGTCGTTTATAGTTTCCCCTCTAGTATCCTGTAATATTTTTGTAGTAACCAGTATGATACCCATGTAGTTTCCATGTTGGTACTCTCTATAACAAAACCTCGTAGCAACACAACAGACAGATGTAGCCACTTCTTTGCGGCTGTAGAAACGACTCAAGCTTCCCGAGTCAATCTACTGCTACCAATGGCATGCGAAACAGATAAATTTGCCTGGTTTTTGGGGGGAAGCACACGTGAGACGTTCCCAATGAAGCAGCACACCCGATCTTGTACCTCCTATTCTTGCTGTTGCCCATCAACACACCCAGCCCGGCACTCCGAACCTCAGGCAAGAGCGGCACTTTCTCCCGCAGATCCTCCTTGCACATGCTTTGGGGCTAAGAGAGAACCTCTCATAGTCAAGTGCCCTAAGTTGTGTTCCGTGCGGGGTGCCCCTGCATCATCAATACAGGATCAGAGCCCACTAGGATGCTCCGTACAGAATCCCTTGCTGCCCATTGCCACTAGCTGTTTGTCTACACTAGCACTTCTGTAGTTCAAGGCGTCATGCTGCAACATGATGCTGGCCGGCCTGTCACGGTGTGACACCCGATTGCAGTCCCTTCGCGCCTTCAAACCCTGGAGCATGGAAGCAAGCTCTGCCTCGATGGCACCTTCAAGGCAATACGAGACTAAAGCCCGCTTCGGTCAAACTACAAGCATTAGTAATCGCTCGTAGGCCCTAGGCCCACCTGACTCCCCTTCCACAGCCATTCGGTAGGCGTTGCCTGGGCGCCGGAGCACACGGTGCTTGCAAACGTTGCTGACTCCCCTTCTTGCAGGCAAAGACTGAGGGCCGGTGCTATCCATGCCCTTGAGGTATGCCAGGTGCTGCTGGTATCGCTGCTGCTGATCATCCGTTGGCCTCGCTAAGCTGTTAAACTAAGAGAGCGCAAAGTATAGCAGCATAGCAAAGCACGTTTTCTTCCAGTACAAGGTTACCTCAGGACAATGCAAGCGAAGAGTGGACAGGACACCGGCCTCTTGATCTTGCCGACGTGCTCGGGAGACAGATTGGTCCGCTTGGGCCTCGCGATTCAGGAACTGCCTTCTCCTTAACTACACCTTAAGAATAAACACAGCGGTATGTTCAGTAGACGTCGTCCGACTGAGAATTGAACTCTGACTTCTTCGGCGACGCAGTGTCGGTGACTTCTGGTTCAGCCGATGCCCTGCGTGCGAACTTGAGATCAGACTGGCTGGCAGGGGTTTACAGAATAGGTTCTTCGTCGCTGTGAAGGGTTTAGGGTTCAGAGTCACGAACTTGATAGAATGCTCTGGGGCTTGGACACAGCTCGCTTCTGCCCCGTAGGAGACGACCTCGAACATGCCAACAGCTCAAGAGACATGATCAGGCGAAACCCATTGCAACTGCTCTCAGCACCCAACTGGGCAAGGGGACTTGGGCAAATGGGGCCCTACACAAGGCAAGGGAGTGTCAACCCCAATCAAGGAACCTATGACCCCATGAAGCCATGAACCTTAGCCTGTCTGGGCGTGCGGGCACAGGCGTCGGCTTGCGGCTGGATTTTCGACTCGACCCTCTTGAAGCCGGAAGCCTCGCAATCCGCCAGAATTAACAGGTCAAGCTCACGGCAAATTCGCACAAAGCTTAATGCTTATAAGCCTTGCCACACCCTGGAGGAAAAACCTGACCGAGTGACTGTTCACAAGAACGCGAAACTCCAGTGGGGTAGAATTGGCGGCAAGCCCAATACCGCAAGGGGCGAGCTCCACATCATCCCAAATCCGAAAGCCAGTGTCTTTATTCTCAAAACCCAAGCCTACGCCCTAAAACTGTGGATTGGTTCCGAACCCAAACCCTGCCCGCCGCACTCATACAAAAAACGAAAACAAAAAACCTTTTTGGCAAAACCCCCAGGCTCCGAGCTTGTCCGGCACTTGGCCAGGTACTGCTGACGGAGACCTCGTTTTGCTGGTGTGTTTAGATTATAGAAAGTTATCGTGGGGACTGCATTTGTGAAAACACTACTTTCATTGCTTCGGTGCTGAGCGTGTAGGGTGCAGGGGTCTTGTAAGGTTTTGACAACGTTCTACAAGGGTTGAAAAAAGATTCTGGAAAGCGTAGAATGCCATTGTTTGGGGCTTTTACAAGGTTGAATGACGTGTGCCTTAGGCAGCGAACATTATACGCAAGTTTCCGAACAAAGGGGACCCTAACGTAGTACCCTAGATAGTAGGATCCTTACTATAAGGACCCAAAAATAAGGTCCCCCTAATTTCCGGATACTCCCATATGAAAGATCCTACTATTCAGATCCGGGCTTCCTGAAAGACCCTTATCGACACGAGGAGTTTACGGAGATGGTACTCCATGATGTTCAGGTGCGCAAAACAAAGCTCAAAATGCTACCACAAGGCACAGGGTGCGATGTTCTGGTAAAGTCTTGTAGGACTTTCATAGAAAGGAACAGAACACAATCGAATGTGGCATGCTTGCATAATGCTTGTACAATCCGACTCATAGTCTGCTCATTGACAACTCCGGCATGCCACCGTGGGCGGAGAAGATGTATGCATGTATGTATGCGAGTGTATGTATGTATGTACGTACATATGTATACATGTACGATATATGTATAACAGATAAAGCACGATCCACCATATTCCCACAAGACAGCCATGGCTTTCGGCTAAGGACGTGGCAGTATGCCAGACGAAACTGCTGGAAACGCTTCTGACGTTCATGACTCGGAGTTTTGCTCTGCATTCATACTCGAAGTGTTCAGCCGGAAACCCTAAACCCTAACTTTCTAAACTGAACATGAAGTCCGAAGTCCGAAGACTTTCCACTCCTGGGGCACACACGCTTCTGCAACCGCCTGCGGCAGAGTCGTTTCCTCCTCAGCCTGCCGGGCTTCCTTTAAAGGAGGTCTGCATGGTCTTTGCACATCGCTTGTCGACATTCGTCTCTGAGTGTGAATCCCTTTTGAGCTACAAATAAAGCCGACGTGGAAACCCAGCCTGGGTGGGTGCTGCCTTCGCTTTCGCCTGCCTTTGCCAGGAAGAGCAGTGAATCAAAGAACATTGATCCAGGCTTCCCCACACTGAACCCTCGGCCTCATGAGACGGACTGGAGAGCTCCGATCCTTCGTGCCATCTCCTCCAAAGACTTGTGGAGAGCGGTGTTTGCTTCTCGCATCTGAAGCTTGACGGTGCAGGTGCCTGCGCCCTTTGCAGCAGCTTTCTCCATCGCCTGGACACACCACGCACATGTATACATATATGTACATGTATACGTTCATCTTGATGTATATGTATATGCATATGTATATGTATGTATGCGTGTCACAGACGCAGGATACTGCACCACGATTCCCGGAACGAAGAAGGATCGTCAGACTCAGCAAGCGGACTGCGATCGGCTTTCCAAGCCTTCCCACCGGAACGGGTCATCGCAGCAAACAGCCCGACTTTTTGGGCTTTACAGCTGCGGTTCTGAGCCGAAAGAGATGGCCCCCCACCGCATGCAGTGTCATGAACCTCTTCGAACTCATGATAACCCCAAACGCACAAACCGAATTGAATTGGTGCCTCTCCTCAGGAGAGGACTGACCAATCCTTCTGATCTGAAGGCCCGAACAGCGCCAAGAGCCCAGCGCCTGTCAAGCCCTAAATCCTTCAAAAAGCCTCAACCCCGAAACCCTTAAACCCTAAGCCCCTGAACCCCTAAACCCTAAGCCCCTGAACCCCCAAACCTTAAACCTCGAAAAGCGCGGCAGAGCTCCAGTTTAACAGCAGCGTGGGACCGCAGCCCAGCCTTGAGCCCTCCACGTCCGTGCGGGGTGGTGGGCAAAACCTTCGGGTTTCGTGTTTGGGTTTTGGGTTTAGAATTTGGGGTTTGGGGTTTGGGATTTAAGGTCGAGGGTTTAGGGTTTGGGGTTTGGGATGTAGGTTTCGGGTCTAGGCTTTGGGATGTAGGCTTAGGGCCTTAGGGTTTGGGGTATTTGGGATGCCTCTGGGATGAACTTGGGCATGAGCTTAATTCTGGTTTCAGGCGGACTCGAAAGGCGAAATCTTGTTCCAGGCTTCTGGGGTTTCTTCGGGTTTAGGGTTTAGGGTTTAGGGTTTAGGGGCTTCAAGGCCTTTGGGGCCTCAGGGTCAATTATCGGAGTCGGGACAGGGCTTTGCAGTCTAGAACGTAAAAAGCTGCGGGCTTAGGAACTGCAAAAGTCCTAGGCCTAGGTTTGAGGGTTTCGGGATCTCGAGCAGACTTTCGACACCGTGGAAAAGAGTAACTCGTGACAGATAATTGTGCTCTACCTGCCGAAGGAACTCATAATCCAATTCTCACTCGATGGTGTCATCGTCACCAGCATCAGTATCAACACCATTACCATCGGTTAAGAGTCAAGAGCCATTTCTCCCTCACAGAGGATTTCTCAGCAACCAGCGCAGCTTTGAGAAGGTCCATCTTGGCAACTGCGATCAGACCTTGGTGGGGCTGCTGATGGCCCCAATGCGCGAGAAGATGTTTGCCAAATGTTCCGGATACCAGAGCCCAAGAAGACAGAACATGCTACGATTCCGTTGGCAGTACCTGGAAGCCCAGCAAGGTCAGAATGCCACGGATGCAATCCTCCCCGGCAGCCACGCCCCCTCAGGCTCGCGCCTGCAGAAATGCCAACTCCTGCACAGGCGCACCGCTGGGTTGGAAAGGCTTGTGCCCTGACCAAGCAGGCTTTTTCACGCGTCAGCGTCACGAGCCAGCACAACGAAGCACCCCTACGATCTTTACGTTGCAACAACCCCCAGAGCCCGAGCCGTCTCGCAAACTCTTTGCCCCTGGTCTGCCGGGCGCCTGCCACTCACATCACCCATCCAATGGAAACATGCGCTTCATCTGCTCCCCGAACATTATCCTGCTAAGCAACACACTTGAGCCGAAGGAGCCAAAGCCATGTGCGATTCCGTTCGTTGGGGAGAAGAGCCGTTTCAGAATGCATCGGGCCTCAAGAGAAGCGGACTCATGGAGATACTCTTTTCTTGCACTCTCGCTGCATCCCCCAGGCAGCACTTCCTGCTTGCAGATCCACGGATCGCCTGTATCACCCGAGGGCGCGTGCGAGAAATCCTAAATCCTAAACCTGCATGTCCCGCACCAAACGCAGGAACTTATGCCCCAAACGGAGGCAGTGTTGCGACCTAGGCCGTAGAGGTACTCTTGCAGGAGCGCATGCTAACAATCCAAACTCAACTGGTAAGTACACTTCACATGCCCGAACTGGTGTCGGTACTCAAATCCTGCAAAAGCACCCTCTTAATGTCTATGTATTGCAGTTCCGGACTTCACGTCGGCTCTGGGGACTCTGTACGATCGAAATGAAAAGATGGCTTACTGCTGCTCACTTGCTTGAGAAGCGGTGTCCATCCGTCGGAGACGCCTCAGTGACTCGACAGAGTGCCGTGCAGAAGGGTGTAGATATCTGGGGGGCACAGGGGGTTCGGGACATAAACCAACCCCCAAACCCTGAGTTATAAACCACAAAGCCTAAACTAAACTTTAAAACCAGCACTGCGAACCGCAAACATGAAATCCCGAACCACACCCGGCGAATCGGTCTAACAGCTGACAATGCATCCCAGTCACTGTCACCGGACACCATCCTCGGCACAGTTGCCCATTCTGAGTTTCTGCATCAGTGTGGTGGTTTAGGTTGAGGCTTGGGGTTTAGGGTTTGGGGTTCCATTTACAGGCTTAGACGCCTTCGATTACGGTTGCAAGGTTCTTGCAAGACCATGAGATGCACATGCATCAAATGCTGAGAAGCACCAACCTCCAAAGACTCTTCGAGCAACTGTTTTGTCAAAGCGTCGCTTGCTCGCCCAACCGCGGAGATCTCTTGTTGGTGGGGCTGGGCTGGCCCGCCTGCATTGCAGAATGAGATAATTTGGTAAACTATAACCTAGTATAATATACTGCAATACACTATAACAGACTAGCATACACTATAATATGCTGTGAAAAACTATACTATACAAAAAGTTGAGTTACGCTGAGCGACCCAGAACCTCCAAGTATCCATCTGTCCATGCGTGTGCTATCCATCCAGTCTTCAGCTACCTGTGCGGCGATCGATCTATCCAAGTGTCTCCTCGGGTGGGTGTGCGTGTGTATGTATACATGTACAGAAACGTGTCAGATAAAAACGCAGACGGATTCTTGGACGGCTTCTACGTGGTTTCCCGTGTGGCGGGGATTCTGGGAGCATGATGTTTTGACGGCTTGGTGGGGCACCCCGCCTCCCCCACCCTTAGACAGAATGTCATCCGGCAGCCAACACACGTTGTACTAAGATATGCAATAATATACCATAATATACTATGATATACCATGATATACTATGCAAAACCACAATAACCAGAAACCTTAAACTGAATTCCCCAAAGGCCCTGGGACGGCTATGCTCACAAGACTCGGAGACTGCCTGCTCCTGCTCCTTGTGCTCCGAGATATCGGAGATGAGGGCTGCTAGCGGCCTGTGCTCCTCAGACGGAGGAGGTTTGCACTTGGGATCTGAATCCAGAACTCCGTAGGTGTTTGGGGATTGCTTGACCCAAGATCTCGACCTTGAAAAAGGAAAGCCCGCGCGTAAAAATGCCAGTCGAAGTATTACATAGTATTACCCCATGTTCCCCAGTTGGGGTCACAGTTACCATGATAGAGAACACGATCTGTCATCCAAGCAGGTTGTCTTGTACTGGCTTTGTTTTGTCTGCCATGATATATGTCATCGTGTTCAATGTGCCGATACTACCTTGTATGCGCGGTGAATTGCTTTTGGGCCGTGTGGGGGCGCGGGTGCATCACTCTGTTGCTCTTGCAGCATGAAAATTCGGCCCGTCTTGCCTGCAGCATTGTGATCTTTCAGAATACGTTGCTACCGTGACTACCGTGTACTACAAGTTGCGTCATCTTGTGCTCTCTGTTGTTTACCCTGCATTCATGACATGAGGTGTGTGACCACGGGACCTCAAGGGACTGAGCTCCCGACGCTCCGAGTAGAGTCGAGGCCCTTCATCAGCCAGCTCCTTGAGTTCTGCTCTGCGTAACCTTCCTGACAAGGGACCGGCAGAGGGCATCGCCAATGGAAAGATTTAGTGCTCGAGGTCTACATAATTTTGTAGGTTATAGAGATAAGATGTATGACGGATTATATATGGGATATTATGTGCTATATACAGGGAACATCCACTACCTATACTCTGTGCAATTTCATATGCCACCTCCAGCGGCGGCGGTCGTGAGGTCAGCGTGCGCGCCTTTAGTGCGTCTGGCGGCTTTGTTGATTGCCGGGGCCCAATTGGTAGAGGCTTGCATACTGGAAAGCCTCTGATCAAGTAGAGATAGCATGCGGAATCAGAACAAGATAGCACGGCAATGGAACAGACATTGCCAAAAGAAGACAAATGATACATCCGTTCACGCCCACGGAACCACAACTGTTTCATAACCTACGAGAACGACTGCGCATGCAAAGCGATGTAACGAATACCAAAACTACGAACAGCACGACTGTAGAAGCGATGCTCATGTCATGTGGGAGTTTCCGCGAATGGGGGGACCCTAATATAGTAGGGTCCCTCATTATAAGGATGCCAAAATAAGGTAGCCCCCATGTTCGGAAACTCCCATGTGGCAAAAGGAGAGTCCTCTGGGCTCCCGAACTCGTTCCCGCATACTTCTCACGGCTGGGCGAAAGAGAACATGCTCTTTGACCTCCGTGCTCCACCAACAATAATTCAATGTGCAAAAAATAGTCTAACATGATTTAGAATACAACACTAGTACGAGACACTGAAATATTGTCGTATATTGAAAAATATTGCACAACATGATATTTCTACAACATTATTTAACATCTATACAATCGGTTTACATGGCCTTCGGTTTGAGGCTTAAAACAGTTACTGGAAGAAGGACGGGATTGGTGGGATGTCAACCATGAGTGCATCCATCTGGCTGGATGATATATCTTGTCACGTCCATGTAGATCGGCAGTTGGCCAGCTAGTCGATATATATATATATACACATATTTTATCATATACATATAAAGATATCATATATGTATATATACATATGTGAATGTGCACGGATATCACTCCGTTCTATTTCTTCATGTACATATTCGTTCATTGCACTTGCATATCTCAACAGCTAGTGAGGTATTCCTCTTCATGTGTCTGTTGCAAATACACACGAACCGTCGCTTGCGGGAAAAACTCAACCGCCTGCTAGATGGGACATGCTCCACAACCAAAACAATAACGTAGCAAGCAGGGTATCATCACACTCATTAGAGTTAAAACAAACACAAAGTACGTCTACAGTTGCCCTTCTAGTTGTAATCCACTAAGTAGTTCCAGCAAGTGAGAGCGGGGCGGGGTGTCTAAGTCTACTTCAGAATTTCAGAACTCCGGATAGGTCGAGCCCTTGGTTGCTAAACCAGTTTCACAGCTCTGCCCCGGGCCCACTCGTGGTCAGCGTCATCCCCACCTGGGAGTTTGTGAGAGAGAAAAAACTCTAGCAGCCAGCATATCGCTCAATACTGGTTACACCGGATCAATACTGGAGACCAGCATTGCCTTGAACCTAGTCCCCAAATCCAAACCCGCCCTTCAATCCTACACCAAAGTGCTGCCTCCCTTACGTTCACATGTGACTCCTTAAATATCCTAGACTCTGCTTGCGAACTGTCGATTCCTTAAATCCCAGGCTCAACTGCACCCGGATCCCTGGATCACTCCCACCTGGTTCCAGTAAGGCCGGTTCGGCCTCGACTGAGGGAGCTTGGGGCGTACGGGGCCTGTCTACCCGAAGCTAGGAGTTTAGAGGAGAGTTTTTGACGAGGATGATGAGTATGGTGATGATGACAGCTCCCAGACATTGGTAAGCATTGTGGTGTTGATGGCAGTCGCAGAAGAGCAATAACGATCACAGCAGTACTTGCTACATCGAAGGCAGCCAACACGATCGCAGAGACGCGAATAGCAACTGACGTAGCGCGCTACTCCTCGCATCGCTTTAGTATAGTGGTAGCTGTGGCAGCTATAGCTGCTTGTGGCAGCAGCCGCAGCAGCAGCAGCAGCAGTCGTCATCGTCGTCGTTCGGGTGGGATTATTCTTCTTAGGTCCTGTCTATGGACCCGGAAAATGGGAAGCCACGCTTCTCCCACACATTGTACCCAGTCACCCAACTCTTCTGTCGCGCATGTCTCTATTTGCATGTGTCTCTGTTTGACAAGACGTTCTGCTGCCAGACTACTGTTGAGATGTGTTGTGGCTGCATGTTGCCTTTTGAGCAGAGGTCCTGGCCTCGTAGTACGCGATGGTCATGTTCACCTGCAGCGGAACATGCGCCCCTGACACAGCCCGTTGAACTTTGCAGAAGCGAAGTATCCAGACGACAATCTTATTGGAGTTGTTTGCAGTCTACATCTTGTGGTCCCCCGCAGTAGCTTCTGCACACCCAGATGTGCGAAGGAGATTGGCAAGTCACAACCAATTGAACTCCCCCGCTTCTCAGGCCCCGGCCAGTCGGCACATGGACACCTTGACAGAGAAGACAATCAAGTACTCGACCAGCACCTGACCACGACCACATGTCTGCAGCTTTTCACTTTGAAGCTAAAACCTCCGCAACCCTGCCACATAGTAGGGTCGCGTCCGAAGCGAAAAGCCTAACTTTGAACCCGGGACACCCCAACCCACCATCCCCCCCCCCCCTCCCCCTCCCCCCCCCCCGAAAAGAACGCAGCAGCCCTCCCTTGGGTTCCGGCATGGAGGAGCCCCGAAGAACGCCAGCTGTCCATGGCCATGACCCTGTAAAGCAGGCCTTGGTTTTCCGAGGATCCCTTGCTGGTCGATGCTCGCATCAACAACCCAAAGCCCGAAACCCTAAACCCGAAGCTAGATCATTGTTGGGATAGGATTAAACATGTACATGTTTATTCCTTATTGGGTCTAAGTACCCATAAAAATGTAAAATGTTACCCAACTATGACAAAGGAAGGCCCCCCTGAAACCGGAAGCCGAGACGCCGATGGCAGAGTTCCAATTTGACGCGACCACGAAGAGGCAGCAGGTGGTGCCGTCCTCCGGAGTGGGGCTCGGACTCTACGAATCACTAAAGAGGCTGTAGCTCTTAGAAGGGTCATTATAAGTGTAACTAAGGATTGCTGTACGGGTTATCGTAAGGGTTACTCTGTCCCCTTGGAGGCCTGTTATGGCGTTCATCGGTTTGATGTGGGGTTGACAGGTTTGCTCTAGGGCTTCGGTTGATGGGCGCTCTTCCAGAAACCAGCAATCCTTCTAGTTAGACATTCAGGGTTTGCGACTCAAGCTAGGGTTTAGGGACCCTACTAAACCCTAAACCCTAATTCCTCCACCCTCTCCGGTCCGCAGCACCGCACAGAAAGAGTATGGTGTTTACCAGCGCGAGGAGGTCGGCGAAAGGCGGCAGTAGCAGTGCCTTGAAAGGTTGTCAGCAGAGCTGGGAAATCAGATAACGTCGTTCGCGTTACCTTGAAGGCGTATGTTTGTGAGTGTGTACTTGCCTGCGTGTGCATGCGTGTGTGCACGTGTGTGCCTGCACATTTTATGCATCACAAATATGTAGATGGGCACGGACAATTTGAAAACTGTAATAAGGACTCCAGAGGTACCTCGCTACCTTAAACCCATCGCAGAGCACGAATCCTCGACGCATGCCCATGCAATCCGAAGCCTGGAACCACAGCAACTTGCTCTCAGGAGCTTCAGAAACCCCGACGAACAACCTGAATCGCCGGGATCCGGAGCGATTGAGGGCTTCTAGATCGCAGGTCTGAAGGTGATGGAAACCAGAAGAACGAAGCCTTGACTCTTGACCTTGACCATCGGAGGTCACAAAGCAGTTCGGCCGGAATCTTCGGCATACCTTCCCCAACTGCCTGGAGTTGGTCCTTCTGGGAAGCGTTCAAAGCGCTGGGCCCCCGACCGCGAAGAAGGCCGAATGCCGTGGCTGAAGCCTTCACTTGCAGCTCTTGGTACAATCGTACTCACGCACTGAGGGGCGCTGATGTCCCTTCGATCTGCTCAGTGGAGTCCAGGCTTAGCGAAACGAATCGCAACGATCTGCTGCAAAAAAAGAAGCTGTAGAGCCGCCGACTCCTGGCCTGAACAGAATCGCAGACTGCGCGATAAAGCCCAATGTCGCGATCGCCAAAGTCAACATCAGCATCAGGAGCGTGTACTCCTCTCTAGGCATGGCCGTGCTCCGCAGAAGAGCTGGACGAGCAAAGGCAACAGCGCAGCATCAAAACAGCATGCAACAAGTTTGCAAACTGTGCCCCTCCTGCGAGCCCCGCGGCTTGCGATGTCTCAGATATAAGCCTGGCCTCAGCCAAGAGTGCAGTGCCAGCTGTCATTGACAAGGGCTTGCCTGGCCCACAAAATCTGAGATCTCGTCTGACGCCCAACACCACCGATGGCATTGAAAGCCTTCAGCTTCCGCAAGTACCTGTGACACTGCCCAGCTGGCAACAAGCAGACAAGCCGCAGCGCAGCGAAGCAATTCCTACCGGCCAGGATCGCTAAGGTCGGCTCCAATTGTAGACATGGTTACCAGGAGCAGCCACGAAGTAGAGCGCTGCCTCGACAACCCATCATCATCATCATCATCAACATCAACAGCATGATCATCAGCATCATCATCAGCATCGTCATCATCGTCATCATCGTTATCGCCATCATCATCATCATCATCATCAGCAGCAGCATCAGCAGCATTAGCGTCATCAGCGCCATCACCAGCATCATGATGATGATGACGCTGATGCAAACGCTGATCATGCTGATGCTGCTGATGCTGCTGATGCTGATGATGATGATGATGATGATGGTGGTGGTGGTGGTGACGATGATGACTACGATGGTGACGATGATGACTACGATGGTGACGATGCTGATGCTGATGATGATGATGATGATGATGATGATGATGATGGCGATGATGGCGATGATGATGAGGATGAGGATGA